CTACCAGAGCCAGGAAAGCACAGAAACACTTGAATCCATCCAGACCTTTCTGATTGTGCCTGGAAATGCATTACATTTCCTAACTTTCAACTGATTAAATTACCAAATTCAGTTTTCTGCTACTTGTTTCACACAACACAGAAGTTATCAACAGTGATTAATGAGAAGGAGCTGCAGTGTGCCAAGGACCACGATGCTGCCCTACGCCTCTTGACCTGGGGCAAGGAAGCAAAGCAGAGGAAACCCCAAAATCTTCATCTTGTCGTTTCTGGCCTATTACAAAAGCAGCATCTCCTGCAAACACTTGAGCATCTGTGCAGTCGCAGGGGGGTAAAAGTCCCAAAGTTAAAGCCAAAAGCAGTAATTAACTGTGCTGTGTTTAATGCCAGTGTCTCTACAGCCTCCTCAAGGCTTGCAGGGCCTCTCTGGGAAGCTGACAGTGTTTTTCTGTCAAAAGCCACTCAACTTCAACCCCTTGAGGAAGCCCTGGTTGGACCTTGAATGGCTCGAGTGTTCTTTAAAATATAACGGGTTTACACACACTTCAAACTGAATTTTCATATGCTGCCGTCTCCTACACAGAAATGCAATTAATGCTTTTCAAAGGCACAGAAAAGGAAATCAGTTATTTTAGATATTCTGAAAGTAAGTTATTACCCCAGGATTGGGAAACAGGAGCCTGTGTGATACTTCAGACAAGTTGGGAACCATTAATTTTACCAGCAGTACCAAAGTATTAACCTGTGCAGGTTATTATTAAACCATGTAACGATGGAATAATGTAATTAATACGAAGAACACAGCGCTGTAAAACGACACACATCATTAGTTAAATCAGTCACTCAAGTAAACTGCGTTCTAAGGGGACTGACCATAATTAACTAACTAATTACATTCTAGTGTACTGAAGTCTGCAACCTCGTGGCACAGGAGCAGGATGCCGAATGTAACATTTATTTATCCATTTTCCCGTTTTCTTTTTTGGGCTGGAAGCTGAAAAGCGTTTAACGATTCACGAAACAACAAGGGACCTACCAGCACACACACAAACACACACGGACGACACCAAACCTCCACTCGGAGCTGCTGAGGTGACAGGAGGCAATTAGCAAAGTCAGGAATTAACAGGCGGGGATGTGCCACCTGACTGCGAGGCTGCGGACTGCAAAGCCATTTGAAGTGCAGTCACATTCGTCGGAAAAAACCCACAGCAACTCTCTCTACGGAGAACACCGCCTCTCGCCCTTACGTCCAAACGCTTTACAAGCACACATTACTCATTTCCTCCCCAGTCTCCAGCATCCATCTTCATTTGGGATGAATCATCCCCTGGATCATCAGCTCTCTCTCCCGATGACACATGGGGATGGACAGAGCTTTTTTTGGCTAGCGAGACTCCAGGTGAGAATAACCCCCGGAGAAATACCAACCGGCAGCATCCATTATGTCAAGAGGGTTCAGAAATAGTTTTGATGCAAATTCGCCAATTAGCATATGCATATCTGGGCTCCCAAGTGATTCATTTCTTCACCGTGGTTGAAATTAATTCCTGTGGCGCCGGGGACCAGCAAGAAGCCCACGTACCCCAAATATCCCCCGCACAGGTCTGATGTCACCTTCTGTATAGGAAATAATCCCAAGTTGAAGAGCACTATGCCCTTAATAGCAGTTCTGTGGGTTTCTGAGCAAACTCGGAGGGGATTATGTCGCTCAGTGAATCTGGCTCCCAGTCCTTTCCCAAATATAGCACAGATGACTTGCAAATGAGTTCTAAAATCAGCTCAGCGGTTTTCCCATCGCTCATATTAAAAGCTTCATATAACAGGACCTGATCCAAGGACCACTCAAGTCAATGAAAAGATTACCACTGACTTCAGCAGGCTTCAGCTCGGGCCCATAATGCTTTTTATCTTCCGAGCATGTGACAGGCGTTTTAATTAATTCACCCTAAATCTTCCCCTCGCCCCGTGCTGGGGAGGGCGCGATGGGGAGATCGGCCTCGTCGCACACCAGGGCAGGGCAAGGCAGGGAGGTGAAATCTCCCATTTAACGACACGTTTCTAACATTGGCCATGTTTGAATTCAGAGTTTAGCATGCGCTTTGCAGCGGCTGCACTACATGACTCGTTAGGAAGGAACACCAGAGCTGGCATCAAAACCCGTACACCAGTACCTCCCAGTGCTAAACTGGGTTGTGCGCGTGTGAGCTGCTGCGTTAGCTTACGCTGCCAGAACTGGGAGCTGTATTTTGGCCAAAATGAATGGTCCGTGCCAGTGAATCCACTCTCCCTTCTGTCTCTTCACCCAGCAGATGTGGTCCTGTCCGCACAATTTTGGTTTCTGGAGCCTTAACAGATTCTTTAAACAGCAGCAAACTTAGGAAACCTGAGGATCAGGACTTGCAGATTCTGTTTTCTAACCAAGAGTTTATTATTACTCAGGTTTAAAAGCTGAGGATGAAACTAAACAAGGGAAGAGGAGAAGCTTTGTGCAAGTATAAATTCACAGAGACAGCGTGTTTTTGAGAAATGACAGTTGCCCAGGAAGCTCACTAAAGGAGAAGCTGGTCCTGCCACACTGTGAAGGAAAAGCAGGAGGAGTTGGTGCATGAGGCTGGCAGAGGAGCAAATGAACAGAGCTGAAGGTCAGAGTCTGAATATTCAACACAAAGGGTCAGTAAAGCAGTGGACATGGCCCTTAAGCATCTCTTGACAAATCTTTTGACCATCTCCTCCTTCATAATTGGTACCAGAACACCCAAATTGGAGCGTTAGCCTACAAAACACATCCAGCTCACGACGACTTCTGTCCAAGCACAGGGGAATATTTTATATACACAAAACCTGGATTCTGCTGATCTCTGAAAGACAAAGATGCATGAAAATAAAGGTATCTATAGTGCACATTCCCCGGCCCAAGATACTGATGTACTCAATAACACATCCACGCACGGGCAATGCACCCAAGGGTCTGCAGGCCACAGGCTGCAAAACACAGCTGACACTTGAGCAGTAATAGCTGCTGTTAGCTGTGGTCTGCTCTCCACTTGCACATTACCCTGATGAAGGAGAGCCTCCTGGGTCTGATTAACCAGTAAATCACTCCTAATAAGTCTGCACTGAAAAATATCCTGATTCCACACTCCAATTTCCCAGAATTTGGGTCATTACTACGCTCCTCTGCAGCCAACCCAAGACATCCGCTGGATGAAGTGACCAGCTAATGACAGCCCTTTAAATACAAACTCATTCTGAAACTGGAGCATAGGAGCACTCCTCATTAAAATCACAACCCACCAGTGATCTGCACTTATTGGAGGCTTGAACCGAGGTCAATGGGGGAGAGCGAAGCAGAACTCAACAGGCTCCAGAGCACAAGATGCCATCCCACCCGCGGCAGCGAGCAGGCTCCAGCTGCAGATGGTTGCCAGCATCTCCACAGATCATAATTTCTAGCAAAAGATGAGATCCTGGGATATTAACATGGTTGTGCAACGGTTTCCTTGGATCAGTGGCAAAAGAGAGTGCCAAAAATACAGGACTGTCCTGAGGCAAGGACCAGGGCATCACCAACAGAGCGAGCACATGAGCTCTTGGCATGCAGGATGGGCTCACGAGCTGATGGAGATGATGGGAGCAGGAGCCCAGACACTAAAAAGAATGAAACTTGTTGTCTTCCCAGAGCAGAGGATGGTGAGAGTAACACCTCAAAGGGTATTTTGAGCTACACAGCAAAGTAATTTTTGTTCTTATGTTCCCATACAAATGTGGGGGAGAGGAACAGGCTGAGTTTGCAGGGCTGGAAAAAGCTGTGAGGAACTGAACACGGCCCTGCCTGAGGCAACAGAAAATGGGAAGGATTCAATCCTATAAAGGCCAAGGCAGCCAAGCCTTGTTCTCTACGTGATCAGCAATAACAGCCCTGAATCACATGCACAGACCAGTGGGGACAGAAAATCCCCACCTACCTCCCCTGTGAACCTCAGTGAACACATAAATGACTTTATAAATTTACAACACTGCATAAATAGCAGCAGGGAGAACCACACCTCCCTCCTCACTTGCCCTCTGCCCTTTGGGGGCTGAAATCCCCCTTGGTTAGGGGTCAGCTACCAGCCAAAAATCAGCATTCCT